CCGGGCCCGGGCCGCCCTCGCTCCCGCGCCCCGGCCCGGCCGCCCGCGCCGGGGCAGTCGCCCGCAGAGGAAGGCGCCGCAGTCTCCGGGCCTCGCGCCCCACTCGAGCGTCCTCAGCACCGAGGGCTCGTGTGTCCTGAGGGGAGGAGGCGAGCCAGGGGCCGGGCACTGAGCTCTTTGGCGCCCCCACCCCCGTTTTCGGAGCCCTCCACGCTGCGGCCGCTGTCCCCTCCGGACCATGGCCGACGACGACGTGCTGTTCGAGGATGTGTACGAGCTGTGCGAGGTGATCGGCAAGTGAGTCTTCACGCGAGGGAGCGGGAGTGTGGGAAAATGCATTTCAGTGATGCCCGGGTCCTCCCGTACCCGCACCCGCTCCGGGCCTGCCCCCTGCCCTCCCTCACCTCCGCGGCCCTGGTCTTCCTCACCCCTGAGTATTTATAGACGTGTACCTGGACCTCCTGCCGGGCGGGGGTCTGGGGAGTTCGCAGCGATCGGTGGAGGTGAACCAGCCGAGGTCGGCCACCCCTTGAGGCGTGGGGCCGGCTGAAATGTGTCTGCATTTTATCTGACGGTTGCACAGGGACGTGGCCGAACCGATTTTATAGTTGCTTCCTGGGAACAGTTGGGGTTATTGTTACCTTGCGTGTAGCACAGACTATTTACGAAAAGAGCAGCTTGCATTTCCTTTGCTTGTGTGGAGAGAAAGAGAGAACGTCCAGGGTTTTTAATTGTGGGGTGTGTGTCTATTGTGCAGGATATTAGATAGATGCCTTTGTGTTCACCCCATGCCCGGATTGGAGGGGGTCATTTAAGACAGGGTACGTTCAGTTTCAGCAAATTCCTCATCTGGTATAGACGAACGTGGAAAGAGTTGGGGGGATCCGAATTTTTAATGCCTCGTTATGCAATGACTGTTAAATCAGTGTTCAAGGCTTCCCTCGACTGTTGTTGGGATGGTGGTTAGCGTGGTAGAGCCGTCTGCTTTGAGTCACCGGGCTGGTCTAGAATATAGAACTGACAGTCCAAATGCTCATCCTTTCATCTGTGTTGTATAATTACACTAGGGAAAAGCAGGGAATCAGATTAATCACAGTGCTGATTGAGAATTAAATCTGCAGTTCCTCATCTAATTGTCCATTCCATAAATCTGTTTTGAATAGTTTCCTTTTCATTCTTGTCAAACAGTATTCCAAGTGCACAATCCTGCTAATTTGCTCGTTTGGGAAATGCTGGCAATCTGAAGTTGATTTCTTAGTTCAACGTGTATTCTGTGGCTTTCGAAGTTGAGATAAATTTAAGAGCAATTTTTGCTTATTTATTAAGGATTGCTAGACAGTTACCACTGAAATATTTTACCTCTTTTTGGAAGCAATGCTTTATTGTCTATTTTAAGGTCCGCAGTTGGGAAATGAAACCAAGACCTTAGAGCAGTTGGCTCTCTTTTAAGTTGTCTGCAGGGCTGGATTTCAATTTAAGTGCTGATAACTCATTTTTTTCCCTTCCATGTTGAGGTATTACAGTGTTGCCTCACATGGTGAAATTGTGGGTAGAGCTTGCTGCACACTTTCCTCAGATCCAGTTGATAGGAGGACATGTTACTCCTTGCCCCTATTGTTTGTTACATGACCAGCCTGTCTACTAGAAGAATATCCAAATGTGCCCCTGGTGAAGTAATTGTGGAAGTGCTCTAGAGCAGCGCTGTCCAAAAGATATATAATGTGAGCACATGTAATTTTATATATGTAAATTTTGCATATGTAAATTTTCTAATAGCCACATTAAAACTATTAAAAACAAATAGGTGCAATTAATTTTAATAAAATATTTTATTTAACCCAATAGATCCAAATTATTAAGATATTTTACAGCCTTTCTTTCATACTCAGTCTTTGAAATCCAATGTGTATTTTACATTAACAACACATCTCAATTCTGACACTAAGCTACATTTTCATAGGAAATACTTGATCTGTATTCAGGTTTCATAAAATTTGCATTTGCAAAAGTGGACTCACATACCCAAGTTGTTCCAAACATACCTAAAAGTTTTCCAATAACGGAATCAAATATCTTTCTAAATTTAAATTTAAATTAATTAAAACTAATAAAATTCAGTTCCTTAGTTGGACTGCCCACATTTCAAGTGCTCAATAGCCATATGTGAACAGCACAGTTCTAGACAGACAAATATGTAAAATAAATAAATAAGCAAATCCCCTTAGTTTCTTTATTCTTAGCACCCAGTGAAGGTGAATTAGGGTGTTTCCCCAAAGCACCCAAATGATTATGTGTGTATGGGTGAATGTTTGTTATGTCTTAGTTATATTTTACTTAAATGAGCCAGCAAAGTCATAATTGGAATCTGTGAGATTAAAATGTTAATTATGTTGGGATGATGGAATATAGCCATCTTTGAATCAGTGTTAGTGACTAGTTCTGATTCCTTAAGCTCTGGAATGGTGATGATGTGATCTCTTTGAATATCGAAAAAAAGTGGTCAGCATTGCATTAGCACAATCAATATTCTGCTGACTTACAACTGATAGAATATTCTCAGGAAACATCTCTGATAGAACTAAATTCATCTCTTCTGTTGCCTCAGAGCTGCATAAGGAGGGAGAGCAAGCTAATTTTGAGGTGATAGGTACTCTATGGATACCTTAACTGATGTGAACGTGAAATCTTATTCAGATCCTACAAAATGTGACTTGGTCAGTTCCATTTATGTCATTCCATGAAATAATGAATTCAAGGTAGCCTTTGTGGTAAAGCATGTAATAATAGTGTTCCTCACCCTGTGTAAAGGTTGAAGGTTTCTCTGGTAAATTGTCTCAGCATATATTGATCTGGAAATTGAAATTCACTTGAGATTTTCTTACAGGGACCTTGACAGCATACATTTTAACTTAGAATTTGTTCAACTCTGGTTTTAAACAGCAAGGCCTTGAAGATGTTCATTTGTACTGAAAACCTTTTTGTTGATTTCTATCCAAGTTCTCTGGAATTGTGATTTTCTTTTATGCCAGATTAGTATCACTAGTTGTTTTTGACCCCTAGGTCTTAATAGGTTTAAATTTTCACTGAGATCCTTTAAAATAGATTTCACTTTTCAAGATCAGTTGACTCACTCAACTACCTCACTACTTATCTACTCACTCACTTACCCACTGTCTTCGAGAGAATCATATGCCTGATTCATTATGAGTATTGAAAGGATGTCATCTCTTTTTTAAAAAAATTTAAACTCTTCCCCTCTGTGTTTCTTATTTTTGACAGTCTTACCAAAAAAGCTCCTTTGAATGCCCATTATACCCATAGCATTTTCCTATGTAACATCTTTCAAGCAACTGAAACAAATCTCCAAAGATGGGACCTTATCATAGTCCCAAAACTTCTTGTTTTAGCAAATGTAGCAATTATTGGAAAGGAAAAGTGTTATGCAAAAATAGGTAATTGGCTAATTTTTGTCATGATCATTCACTGCGTCTTTTGCAAATTTATAGTTTTTAGGTAAGTGTACAATCAGTAATATTACACGAAGGAAATTTGAAGATGATTCATCCAAATTAAAACATAGAAATACCTACTTCCATGGTACAGCAGTTTCTGTGAAAGAGAATAGCAAAATGCAAAGGTTTTCACCTTGTGTAGGCTGAATATTTGTCTGGGTATTTAGTAACCTGTAACTTCTGACTTTCCTGCTTTGGTAGGACATATACTAAAATTGGAATGCTGCAGCGTGACCCCAGCTCAAGGATGACATGTAAGGCATGCTGTATTTGTGAGACATGCTGTATTTGCTTACACTTCAAGAGCACTTATCATATTTAATTACAGTTACTTATTTATGGGCCTTTCTACCTAGCTAATAGGGAGCTTCTTGAGGGCAGGTAACATATCTTGCACACCTTTCTCCATTGCTTAACACAGTGTCTGCAATGTAACAGTCACTCACTAGCTGTGGACTGATTTAAGTAGTTTTAATAAAATCTCATTAAAAGGCAAAAAGCATGTTTATCAACCTCAGAGCAATTATTGTCCCAAAAGGCTGTATGAGTTTGAAGTAGTGATTCTCCACCTAGCTGTATATTAAAATTACCAGGGGAACTTTTTAAAAAGATCAATTGCCAAGGCCCTGTGTCAGAGCAATGAAATCAGAATCTCTGGGAGTGGGTCCTGGTCATTGTTTGTTTGTTTGTTTTAAAGCTCTTTGAATGATTTTAATGTGCAGCTATGATTGAGAGTCAAACTCGTACATTGATTTATGTATGAGTATGCAATTTTGGAGCACTGGCTTTTCAGAAGCTTACAGCTTTTAAAAAGTAGAATGAACGTTTTGAGGGGGAAGTATTGAAGCCAAAAGACCAAGACATGGATTTTATTTTCTCTATGCTGTGTTTCTGAGCCTTGTTGTGTAAGAATTTTGTTTTAGCCTGTGTCTGGCTTTGATGTTTTGGGTCTTTTAAGATTCACATTGATTCATGACATTCATCTAATGATAACATGGTGATTGTCTGATGGTTGGCACAACACAGAACAAGGATTGCTTCAATAACAGTTGATGATGGCTGTCCATTAGAATGACTCAATTTAACAGTAAGGAATTTATCAGTTTAGTATGGACTGTGTTTGCGCATACACTCTATTAAGAGTATGGGTAAGTTACTTATATACTTCAAATTCCATGCTTGTGATTCCAGTAACACTGTTTACCAGAGAATTGAGTCAACTGCAGCCTTTATGTGAATACTGGATTAATAATATGTAAGTATATAATTTAACGTAGAGAAAAATTCAGCTTTACTGTGTGTACTATAGTTACTATGGCTTTCACATATATCGATTGGCCCACTGATTTGGTTTTCTAGTTACCACAGGGGCAAATATTACATTATGTTGGAACATCTTTCCTGGAAATTTTATTTAGATGTTGTAAGTAAACTAGTTTTTTAATTTTAAAAACCAAGTGTGACCCTGAAGATAACCAGAATTGTCCAGAAATAAATAGCTATTCCAAAGAAGTGCTTGATCAAGTGACAATCACATAACAAGGTGAAAGACACAAAATTGCCAGCTAACCTGCTGGTGGTCCAGAAAGATGCAAGCTATGGGGGTTAAACTGAAGTTCCAGTTTAAGAAGAAGGAAAAACCTCTTAAACATTGGATGTGGGTTCCTACACATGGCCGGCCTTATTTGGAGTAGGTAGGCAGTGTTGATTCCTGGTGATGGAGTTCAATTCTGGGACCATTTTGGAGGGAACTGAACTACTTAGTTGCTTTTCTGCATTTGCACA